GTTTCGAAATGAAATTGAAATTCATGCATGACAACTGTATCAATGGCCAATTTTCATTCACTTAGTCCAAATAAAGAAGAAGCAAAGAGAATAGAAATGTCACAGTTTGTGCATTGTGTCATATTTCAAGTGGTTTTTGTTTTGTATTCCCTTTTTTTTGGCTCCAGTCCAGTCACTCATTTTGTTTTGTTTACATTTTAAAATTGTTTCGATTGCAAAAAAAAAAAACTGGCAAACAAAAGATGTTTTCCATGATTTGAAGTGCATCCGGAAATTGGGTATATTTTTGTTTGGCTTCAGACAGTATTGTTGAAAGCAAGACAATGCGAATGCGACAACGCGTACCACTACATTTTGAAACATTGTCACATTGTTTTGCAAAATTACTCTGGTTTTTGTTTTGTTTTTGCGTGGCTTAGACAACCTTCGCTTCACGTTGTTCTCAATATGGATCAAACGGACTCTTTGAAAGTGCATCGGTTGCTTTGTGCTCTATGCGCCGTCAGATTAACTATTTAATATTATAATCTCTACAGTTTTCTCAAGTACATACTTGAACTTCATTCAAATGTGTTTTTGTTCAGATATAATTTCTTTTTTCCATTTTCTTTTAAAGCGTTTACTACAAATTCTTACAATTTGTTGGCATTCATATTATTTTATTTGTCACAATAACTATTTGTCGTCTCTTCTTTCCATATTCGTACACCAAATCATAAAACACACATTTTGTGTCTTCAATTTTTTTTTTTTTGTTGTCAAATGGTTTGCATCACCGTCTGATGTTTTACGGTATTATTTGTGTTGATTCGTTCGTTTTGTGTTTGTTTATTCATTAATCTGATTGAGTTCGTGTTTGAAATGGCAGTAATTATGCCTTACAAACTGAGAGTAGTCTTTTTTTTTACTGATCGTAGATCGTAGATCATGTGATATCGATTGCATTTGCTGCACAAGCTGAATGACAAAAGCCACTTCATAAAAAAAGCGAAAAGCATTGACGAAGAGAAAACTGCACACAGCCTTCTGTTTAGAACAAATATCTTGAGCGACATTTTTCAGAAGGATTTAGATACGGTATCTACGAATCTTTTGCTTAAAAATTTTACTTTTACTCGACGCATTTGTATGAAACTACGTTTACATATCAAAGTGAGTGTTTTGCTCTTTTGTTGGTTCTAATGTTGTTTGTTTCCACATCGAATAGAAATCTCACATTTTCGATATGAAAACAAAAAGAGTCCAGATAACAAATAAGATGGTTAACATCAAAATCAAACTCCCACATTTGATATTTTTAGAATCAAATGATTTTGAGAAAAAAATATGTTTAAACAAGAAATTTCTTTGTCGAAATCTCCAAACAGATCTAAATCCAAATGGTGCGAAGGGATCACCTATGTTTCATATGTGGTTGATGCAGCTGATAATCGTCAGTGTAATAGAGATATTTTCAAAATAAACATTTCACAGTAAAAATCACATATTTGCAAGTAACATTCGATGAAAATTCACATAACCATACTCATTTCAATGTTTTACTGGGAAGTTGAGCTTGACCGCACACCGTTTTTTATTTGGAACCATTCACTGGTTGTTTTTCAGTCTGGTAGCCATTTCTTGAAAAAAATGTTACGCACCAAAATTGATTGGTCTCTGAAAGATACATATCTCTTGATATGATTAATTCATTTCGATTAATCTCGTGATTGTATCACTGTCTTCAATCAACACAAATCAAACAGTTTCGCATGATTAAAATTCCAGTTTATTCACAACCGATGTAACTATAATTCATTTGACTTAGTCAAAATCACTTGGAATCGTGCTTGTGCACTGTCCGATCATGTGCCGGTTCTTTGGATTATCCATCGTAAGTAACACTGATCTGTTCTCTGAAGTTCATGACCAACGTCTAATGTTTCGTGGAAATTTCATTTTTAATGTGACACTATTAAATGTGCTACCTAATAGTTGGTTCACGCTCCATTTTTTTTTTGTAAAGAAAGTATCTTTTTTTCCATATGATTCATATAGGCGAAAGCGATTAAAAATGAGATAATTTTTTTTCGTACATGAAGAGAAATTATGATTTCAAGCTTTAAGATGATGAGTGAATTGAAACAAAATATTGATTAATGATCGTCAATGAAATTGGAGCTGGTGAGAATGTTTCATTATCTTAAACGAGAAATTGATACGTCACTGCTCCAAGAAATGGATGAAGAATTGGATGGCAAGTAAGTGTAAAATTATCACACTTCGATGTATAGTAATGCAAGCCAAAAAAGGTTAAGTCATCTGAAAAACAAAGTGCATACATGTAAGCGAAATGAATAATATTTGCTGCAGCATTCTTAACTTTTAATTAATCTATAAATCTGAATTTGCTAGTTTCGTATTGAATTCGCATGTAATAATTGAATTTGTAATGCGATTCATAAGTCTTATGCCAAATAAGCGACATTATGTAAATATTTGGTTTATCTGGTGCATATATGAAGTGATTTGCATGTGATATTGATAGTTGATACGGTGGTATACCGTTACATTTATTAAGCCGGGCGCACATATTAGAAACGAAGTGATTTATGCATGTGTATGCATTTGCATTTTGATCAAAACGTCATTTGAAATGTCATGTAGAGTACAGACTATAATACACCATTAAATTGTGATTTCATTAGCTCTTAAAATGGAAATTTATACCATTCCTCTTAATGCATAAAGCATCACCGCCAACAACAACAATAATAACAGCACCGACAACGACGACGACAAAGACACAGTCAAGTTGTTATTGCACTAAAATCCAACGTTTGAATTGATAGCATGCATGCTTACTGTAACTCGTATGGAACTATACTGTTTCTTATAATTCAATCCTTTAAATGTATTCTTAAGTCAGTAGTAGCTCGTTAAACGGATTCGTTCGAATTAATCATTAAAATTAATATCAATCGTATGCTAATTTAATATAATTTAATGAAACTCGTTAAAATAATTTATAAGTTGTGATTGACCCGGTACGATAAGTGCCGTTTTCTCAAGTGGATGTGCCAAGTGGTTTTAGTGTCGTGCTGAGAAAATGTTCATCGTATAAACAAGCCAGAGTTTTGAATAATCGAAATTGAAATGCGACAATGCCAGAGTTTGCAATGGCATACACAATTCAACCGCCAATTTCATGTGGAACACATCGATTTGGATCAGAAAATATGTTGAAATGTCGTTTAAATGGTTCGAACAGGTAAAACTTCGGCTAACCATGCCAGTCTAGGTATATATTGTATCGATTATTCAAATGCATCGAGAGCATCTGGTTAAAACCACCACAATTCAGTGGATCGAATCAAAGTTTTCCAAGAATATGTGCTGTGATGCACATTCCAATCCGTTCGTTTAGTTTTTACACATTCATTATTATTTAACTCGATGCGGAGATTTCCACTTAACGAATTTGCTGCACAACAAAATCTAAACAATTTCTTTTTAATTATTCCATTTGACTAGTTCCAAACAATAAATCAACTATTGTGGCTTTTCTTTGTTAACTTTCCGTGATGCAAAAGTTTACGCGTACATATATACATACACTGAAACGAAAATCATCCCTCTCCCTCTCTCAACCACCAAAGAGCGTATGTTTACCAATCTGAATTTTATCCTACAACTGATAAACCAAATAAATTTTCTTCTTCTTTATTCTTTTTCTTCATATCGTTTTTTTTCTCTTCTTAAAATCCGTATCTTATTTTTGGTGTGCAGAGAAAAGACAAGCGTGCGTATGTGCGGTGGGATTGTGTATGGGATTTGCAGCGACCAAAAATGGCAGCAAACATAACGAAAATAAAACAAAAATGCTCAATCGAACGAAGAGGAAAAGTTAAAGTCAGCATTGCGCGTAAATTACGGTAAACATTATTTATGTGCACATGAGAATATCAAATATATCATGGCTGGCTAAACAAAGGCAAAATCCGATGAGACGAGGAAAATACATATCTTTGAGTTGGTTGAAACTGTGAGCAACAGCAAAATTGGACAAGCTCGACCGATAGCAAGAAAATAGAAAAAGTCAACCGAATACGATTGTTATTGTTGCTATCACATAATACATCGAAAGGGATGTGCAGCGCAAAAAAAAAACGCTCACACACCATCCAACGATGGAGAAGAGAAAAAATACATGTATCAACGTTCCCTTAGCGATTTCGAAAGATTCAAACGTTGAATGGCTGCCAAGCGCACACACACACACACTAAAACTGACATAAATCTCTACATGGAAAATGCTCATCCTTTTCGTTCAATCCGCATTTCATTCCCAACGTTAACGTTCTATCTTTTCTCGTTTCTATTATTTCTATTTCTTTTTCCTAACTTGTCTTATTTGCCGAAACTTTTATATTTCGCTTTTGCGTGGTCTCTTTTCAAGATCGCCTATCTCTGCTTGAGAGCAGCAAAACTTTTTCATTCGTAAATACGAAGACCGTGCATTTTTGCCGAGCGATTCATTGGTTTTTGTCACATTTGTTTGCTTACCATTTTCCGTGCTATTTTCGAATCAGCCACACAACACACTGTCTTTCCCCCCTCGTTCATAAGTCATTCAAACTCAAGATTTACATCTATCTTCAAAGTTTTTGGCCGCATCCTTTGCGAATGATTGCATTCGGTTATATTTAGTTTTGTATTTGACAACAATGAAAAAAAGATGCTACCAAATACCAAACACAATCTAATTTGGTTTTTATTTGTTGCTATGCTTCAGCTATAGATTACATTTTGTGATGAAATTTACGCTGTACACAGTGTACACATAAAAACAGAGACAATATTTATAAATTCAAAGACATTTTTTTCAGCCAATTGGATTTGAATTAAGACAAAAGACACAAAACGGCAAAGAAGTTCTTAAATTCTATATAATGAGTGTCATTCTTTTTATAAAGCCTTTACATATTCAAATAATGCGTTGTTTTTCAAATAAAACTCTATTTTGTGATACTTTTTTGTATTCATAAATTCTGGGACTAAATTTTAAGTGGATATGCCGAACAAATCAGTTATTTAAGTCATTGCTTCATAGTTTTGAATATTTCGCGACTTTTTTTTTTCAATTAAAATAGAACGAGTTACGAATTCATAATGAAATTATCGTCACTGAGATAAAAAAAAGATAGTACCAGCTGATCATCACATGACTGTGTAATATTCACAGTCTTTGACTACATTTTTAAGAATTTATCGATATCTTAGAATTTTCGTTTTATTTTCAATGTTTAAAATGTATGACATCCAACTTAAACTTCGATCGATCCATCAAAAGCATTTATCGCTTCTTAATATGAAGTTTAATTCCACCGAGCGGTGAAATCACAAATACTTTTGGATCAAATTTTATTTCGTTTTTCTTTAGACGATCTTCCAATTCAAAGTGGAATTTTTTCAACATCGAAACAAGCCCCACTTTAACTTGTAATTTTCCCATTTTCCTTCCGATGCAGTTGCGTGGTCCCTCCCCAAATGGGTAATATGGTCGATTTGTCAAATCCTTTCCGGATAAATTTTCTTCACTGAATCGTTCGGGAATGAATTTGTCTGGTTCTTCGTAGTATTTTTCATCTCGTTGTAAAGCAAAGGCTGGAATAAATAGTTGAGTGCCTTTTTCGATGACTTTATCAGTTCCAGGTAATTTATATTCCTTTACACATTCCCGTGTTAGAAATGAAAGCGGGGGGTATTTGCGTAATGTTTCTGTAAATATTTAAATTCAAATTCGCTTAAAAACCAAAATACAAAGCCTTGAAATAACTAACCATCGATACAAGCCTCCAAGTACTTCATGTCCGCAAGAGAATCGTACGTAATCAATCCTTCATGTTGTTCTATAACTCGGTCGATTTCTTCGTGCACTCGCTTCTGAATTTCCGGATTCTTGACCAATTCGTAAATACAGAACGACAATGTGGTCGAGGATGTTTCAAAACCTGAATTTAGAATTAAAATAATTTTAGTGTCTGCTGTAAAATAACGCCAACTTCAATTTCTACCAGCTCCAAAGTAGACAAAACACTGTGCTGTCATCTCATTCAATGTTAATGTCTTTTGTTTATGATCAGCCATGATCACAGTATCCCAATCACCGTCTAATTGTACGGTTCCACTATTACGCAATTGGATAAGCAATTGAAAGAAATCTTTGCGACTGACATTGTTCTTTTCTCGATATTCAAGATTTTGCTTCACCATCGATAGAAGAAAGCGCTCAACATTTTCACTGGCTATTTTGATTCGTAATAAACTCATCAATTTTGGAGCAATAAAAAACATTGCAAATCTCAAATTATTCCAAAACGAAGTTTCGAACATTTGTCGACCACAAACACGAAATTCGCAATCAGGATTTTTGATACAGTCTATATCGATGCCAAATGCCACAGAAGCAATTATATTTGTTGAGTGACTCGCTGATATTTCAGACACATCCAGTATTTCACCATTAGTTGCCAATTTTTCCAAATAATTTTCCAAAATTGAACCACAATCAATGAAAGTAGAAAACATCGCCTTCAATTTACCCGATGTAAACGTTGGCGAAAATTTCGCTCGCATTTCCTTCCATCTTTTACCAGACAACGAAAAAAGATTGCCCGATAAGGGGTCATAGCCTTCATTGGAATGAACACCGCGATCAGTGAAATGTGGAAAATCCTTGATAAAGATTGTTCGAATGAGTTCAGGATCACGGACCAGCAAGATGGGTTGAAGCACTGTATAAATTCCAATGAACGGTTCTTGGCTACTTTTATACATTCTTGTACTAAAATCAGCGAAAGATTCCTTTCCCATGAACAATTCTGTGATATGACCCACAAAATAATTGTAACATGACGGCGTTTTAATGCCTTTTCTCTCCCAATATGAATATTTTTGTTTAATGAAAAAATAAAGCACTGTCAAGGCACCAACTAAAAATGCCAATACATCAATTTTCCAACTATCCGTTAGAAAAGCCATTTTTAGACATTTATACACACAAATCACCACAAAAAATGCTTATTTTGTTGAAAAAATTCAATACACTAAACGTGTTTTAACACATTTCTTTCCATTTATAGCGAATATTGAAGTGTGATAAGTTTTTTTTGATAATACAATTTTTTTGATTGATGACAGCAAACCTGTTTACAAAAATATATGCCATTTAATTATCAGTTTTTTATTTTATCAAAACGTAGCAAACAAAAATGATTTAAATTCTATGGTCGATCCACTATGCTGTTCTATGTGTGAGTGAATTAACCCACTGCTATCATACATTGCTATGTACAAGATAACGTAGAATGAGAATAACAGAGATAATAACCGAATTTCGGTTTATTTTTGATACAAATGTATTATTATGCGTCTGCTATCGCGTCTCTTTTAAAATGAGACATTACTTTTTTTAACCTTTATTTTATTACTTTTGTCGTCTATAACATTTTGATGATATAACTGCCAAATTTTGCTAATTCGCTTTTATTCCATTTGAATTAAATTGCATATCACGATGATTAAATCATTCAAGAAGCCTCAACGACGACTAAACAAATACGAGGTCGCGAAATTTTGAGTACTGGGCCTTCAAAGATCATTTTTATTTCACACATTGCGAATTGAATCGAATAGCGACGTTTTTTTATTCCGAAAAGGTCTTTGTTTGATAACAGTGCATTGATATATCGAAAAATCTCAGTTTTTAATACAATAACTGTTGTACACTTCTGAAGGTAAATCATATTGGCATTTACGTTGACTTGAATCTTGAAGAAGTATTCGTCTTAAAAATCAGGGATAAAAGTGCATGGACGATTTATGTTTTTCTGCTCATATTTCTCTTGCAACATTCTTTTCATAGTTTTTCTTGAAATGCTTTGTTCGCTTTCTCTTGCTCACTTTTCTCTGTTCATCCATTTATTGTATCGGAATAACATTTCTCTTTTTATTCATTCCTCTTTTTTCGATACATTTACTTTCTATCGATCTATTTCATTTCTAAAGACATCACAATATTATCATATTAACATGAATGCATCCATTATATTCAGGCTGAATAATTCAGCTTGCTTGATGCGGCTCCCTTTTTTGTATGAATTCTGTTTTTGTCATTTTATTGTTATGGTAACAAACTCTTCAAGTTCAAGTGGTTTTTTGCATTTCGGGTGACAGTTTTTTTTATTTGGGACCTCTTTTTGTTCGGGTTAAAAAAAATGCTGCTTTGTCAACCATTTTAACTTGATGATGCTGTTGAAGAAGCTGAAATCGAAATAGAACAACAGATTTTGCGATCAATTTAGAAATGAAGTGGTTTGTTGCTCTGTATTCTCTTTGATGGTTTGATGAATAGACTTCAATATGTGTGTGAATAGTGATTTATGTGTGAAATTTATTTTGTTCACAGAAACACCGAAATCAAAGCCGAAAAGATGAGAAGGATTTGCCGAACCGAATGAATAGAGCACTTTTCGGGGGCGTTGTCATAAATGAAAATATCAAATAAAGGATTGGATTGACAGCAAATGGGAAAGGATGACAAATTCGAATTCACAGGTTGTAATTTGAGTGCGCACCAAAACAAAACCCAAATATAAATGTATCACTTTGATTTTTTTTTTACATTTGTTTGGATCCAAATATATCGAATTATTTGATACAAAAAGTAAAAGTGTTTATGTATTCATTTTTTTGGTTTAAGAATTGTATGCTCTTAATTTGCATTTTTATATCAGTTTTGTAATATTTCAGTAAAATTCTGTGGTTAAAAATCTCAATTGTGATGTAATTCACCTTATTCAGAGCTCATATTTAAATACATTTTTTTTTTAAATAAAAGTTGGTAAGGTAATGCTACTGTTCTGGTGTTTTGAGCGTCATTGTTCTGTTTGAATAGCAATAGTCATTACTCATCGAACGGCGTAGTAATATCGTTAGATCAATAAATATTTGGTTCTTTTGATTTCATTTGATACATGATCACGTTACAACAGAAATATAGTAATAAATGATTTCAACTTCGTAGAAATTGACGCCAAAAAATGACAATCCAATGTTGAAGTGACATTCGTGTACGCACCAGTAATAAATAATAAATAACCATAATAAAAGAACAGCATCCAATTTACCGATTCAATTTCAATGGAACGAAACAAGCAAAATAACGAAGAACATGAATGAATGAATATGTCGGAAGACGTGATCTATTAGGGTGACAGAAAAGACGACGTACAACACGTAAGCAGTGCGCATTTTGAGATCGATCATAAATTATAAAAATATTTACATTTTCATGTCTGTTAGGCGCGTACATGTTTCGTTCTTTAGCTATAAGCCGTTAAATAAATCGCATTGACGTTCTGATGTCAATGTTAATTTGATCGAATGCTAACGTAGTAAACTAAGAAGACAAAAAGCATACAGAAGTCAACGATCAGACCTCACCTCAATCATGTATAAATTACAATTGTTTGTATCGTTATTATTTGCGGTGCATTCCAATGTTTGCAATTATTTACGCACCCTGACTTTGAAATGCTCAACTTTCAAGCATCGAAGATGACTAAAACAATCAATTTCCACTTTTACCGCACACCACTCACGAGCACACATCGCACGAACGGTGACGCGAGAAAAATCTCAAGATAAATGTATAAAATGCACACAAATAATTGATTGTGTCACATTGATGAACAAATCAATTAATCATAATTCGTTTAAATCGAATTCGATTTCAATCAAATGTAAAATAACGATTACATAAAGTATGCATTCCTTTTTGTGTGATGCACAGGAAACGGAAAATATCAATCTAATTATATAGACTTTTTATCATTTTTTTCTTCGTTTTTTAAATGTACAAATGTTCAATCACATGGATCAATTATTTATGAATTCATTTCGAGGTAATTTCCGAGAGCAAGGCTTGTGCGAGTTGCTACTATATATTCTTCACGCTATTATCTTCTGATCAATGTTCTTCATTTTAAAATTGATAAAATGTGGAATCATGAACAAATTGAAGAATTTAACTTCTTTTCTGTTTGGAACTCGTTGCAAAGATATCAATGAATTTAAGTTTGACTGATACTTCAACAAATATACGTCGCGAAAATATTGACATTACCGCCTTATCTAAAGATAATTACTAATATAGTGATGAATAAACTTACGCTACTTTTCATAGGCACTCTCGCTTAATCATATCCGCGAATATGTTTAATGAACATAAAAACCGACAAATCTGTATGGAGCAAAAAAGTTGCTACTCTGTTTGTTTCTCTTTGCGTCTTCTTTTCTCTATCTCTCCATCACTTGCTCTCTCTCTCTCTCTCTCTCTCTCTCTCTCTCTCTCTCTCTCTTAATCTCGAATCGTTGATTCGGCTGAAGCAAAATGATAAATCTTGATAATCGAATTGTGTATGTAGCTCGTTTATCTATATATTAAACGACCGAAATCGCACGGCAAAAAAAATGGTTTCGGATATGGTTAAAGCACAGTAAGTGATAATTAAGTTGCCCAGTTCGAAAAGAGGAAGCGAAAAGCGACTTAAATTGAGATCAATATCAAATAAATATGTGATAATCGGTACCAATGCGAAGATTCAACAACGTTGATAATCAGTTTGCATCGATTCGCATCGTTTCAAGTTATACCGCCGTAATGTGAAAATATTCCATTTTACAAATAATTCCAATACATTGACAGAGAGCGAGTCTCCATGAAATGTGATTACTGATTACAGATTTCATTTACGACTGACAATTTGTAAACTCGCTTCACGAACGAACAGCCGAAATAATAGCACATTAATTTACCTTAAATATGATTGATTTTTGTTTACTTTAAATAAACTGAAAATCAATATTCGTCTTTTATTTCACAAATGCGTATTATGTGGATTTATCACAATGCGCATTATAATATATGCATATTCTCTCATTTTTAATTACATTTTAAATACGTTTTACATCTCATTGATTTCAACCCTACGCCTGTGCTGTACACAGTACACTAGATTCGATTTTTATCGGCGTCGAAGCGTACCGTCGTTTTTCCTGTGTGACAACATGATTGATATTCATATCGCCTAAATAAATATTTGCACCGAATTTATTCAGTGTTTCGATGGTTGATTTTTTTTTTCCACTTTTCCTTCTTTGTTGGTTGCGTTTCTCAGAATTTCATCATCGAGCTTTCTGAGTCTATCAAAATCGATGTGAACATGATATTCACGGCATGAAATCAGTTTTTATGCATATAAACACTGACAATTTGCTTGGACGTGATGCTTCATGCTGCTACATTTAGTGTTTGACACTCCCTAATTTTCGTTTCGTTTCCGCTTCATTCTCAATTCTCTTCCAATTGAGTGCTGGATGTCTGTGTGTGTATGATTTTTTTTCTTGTCATAATTAAATTATTTCCAAATCAATGGATCGGTAGCATATGATCTGAGTTGCATATACAATTCATGATTTGCGGCGCGTGCTCTCTGAACATTTCTACTGAGTGAATGTTTCACACGAAGCAAACGGAATGGAATAGAATGGGAATGTGCGGGTGCATGGTTAAACTTAATCGAATAGTATTTAGTCAAAGGATACAAAAGACATGCAAACCATAAATAGGGCGACTCTTCGTATCACAAAGAGGACTGCTCTCTTTTATTCTGGATGCTCTCTCTGGCGTGTGCACTCATTTAACTTGACTCTTTTATATTCGAATATTGTGACGTTGATTGACTTCAAAATCATTCGGTTAAGAGATGTGGCATGACAACAGAAACCTATTACGATTCGTACAGAGAAATTCGTCCGGCTGATTTATTTCATTTCGATTGTATGTGAATCGCTTGTTTGGCAAAGCGATTATTATTTATTGGCGTCACGATTCGCGAATCATTTATTTAATTTTTGCCCATTGTTTAATGCTGCATTCAAATTTTTCGCATAAGATTCTTTCACCAAGATATATTCGCAACAAAATAAAGTGAAATTCGTTTGATTTTGGTGTGAGAAAGGAGGAGAA